AAAGAAATCATTAAAAGAGTGACTTTCAATAAGCATTATTTATAATCTATATGGAATTCAAGAGTTTCTGTTTCTGTTTCAACCGGCGCAGCGGCCCCGTATACCGTCTGAGTCCTTCCGCAAACGCCTCAGAGAATCTGGAACTCGTCCTCATCCTCGTTCTATCGTTCTTTTTTTTCCTATTTTGTTGGCAACCACACAGTGCTGTTGCGATGTCACTAAGGCCGGACACATGCGCTTCAAATTCCCTTGTCTGTTGTAAACGCGGCATACATATTGCGTGAATTTACATGTCACCTGACTATCTGCACCTCCACACGCGCGAGCGACACTCCCGCTGCCGCTGAGCCCGCTCACCCGCTGGCGACGCTGCCGTCACGCACGCGGCTGACCGCCCGTCGCCATCCTGTACAGCTCGCACGCGCGCATTATACTTCTTATACATGACCTGCGCCGTATTCGCCGTTTCGCCCCGAGTTGTTGAATGCCTCCCTGTTGCCCTAGTTATGACCTGGCAATCAGCTGATATGACTATATACGATGACCGGCCGTAACCTTGTATTATCTACATATTTCTCGGCCGCCTAAATGCTTACTGCCATATTTTATGCTTTTTGAAGTCAAGCCCCTTTTCTGCAAACAGATGCTGGCGGATTACCTCACTATTTATTCCGCATACGAATTGATTTCGCAAAGCTCTATTTTTGCAAACTACGAAAATTGCACGTTTTTGACATTTCCTTTAGAACTGCCACGTATTCAGAAACTTTTTCGTCATCGACGTTGTTTTCTATGCCTGAACATATATCGTTCTGGCAGTTCACTTGGCCGCGGTTGTAAGTGTTTTTCCATAATTTCCGTAATTTGTTGAAAACATTTAGTGCTAGGTTTTTCTGGGGTACACAAATTAACTAAAAGTTCATAACTTGCTGCACCGATTACGGTTATTAACGTCTGCACTTGAAGTTCATCAGCTACGTTATTAACTAACAAATATTATTCCAGACGGTCCACGTGTAACATCCAGTCGTCCTTGTGAATGTCGAACTCCGATAACTTTCCGATTGACGTCTTGTTTTTTTTTTTCTTTTATGTATATAATTATATGCACGTGATTTCTTATTCTCTTCGCCACTGTAGAATATGGGCGTATTAAGATTGAAAAGCAAATACGTACTTTTTTAGCCTTTATGCGAGGCTGCGGTGACCGCTGCAATTCACAAGGACGAAATATTACAAATTATTATTCTACCTACATTACAGTGCTGTGAGACTTTCTTAACAATTTCATAATTCTAGGTCAGCGGAAAGTACGCAATAGGTTTTGATGAATGAGTTTGCGACTGTTAAAGAAATTAATTTATTATTATTTTATACGTATAGTCAAGGTTTTGATGAGTGAGTCTTCGAGTATCAGAATATGTGACACCTAGTATGATGACCAACCGCGCACATAGCTCATCGTCAGCGATTTTTTGCAAATATTCGATGTTTTAGCAAATTTTCTTTCAAGTTACGGAACCCTAATTTAATGCGGATATAAAAATAAGGTTAATATACGAGTACCTGTATATTTAAAGTCAGAAAACAACATGATATGAATTTTAATATTGTCTAAAAGGAATACGGTTGGGTTTGTTTTGATTTGTCTCGACATTTGAACGCACTGGTCGCGCAAAAAGAAAACACATAAGCCACGAACTGTGAAATAAGCGACGGGATTAGCTACTAGCAATTTTCGTAAATCTTTAAGGAAAATGTAATTTGAGGCAGCACGATGTGTTGAAATCTAGAAGGTATTTATCACAAAACATAGCTTATTATCCGTTCTTTGAAAATACGTCAGTGATATTCAGTCTATTAATAGACTACTTTACTAATAGAAATAAGGAAAACTTTATTTCACATCACAAAGAAAAGAAAAATAACACGAGATAAAAGAAAATACCAGTGAATTTGTGTGAAGTCAAATTAGGTCCCTATTTCTGTAGGTTGTTGTAATTTTTAAGTATAATTAATATAATCAGGCTTTACTTTGCGGAAATACGTTATATTAAAGATGGTAAAAATTACTTTGCCCATATCCACTTCATGAAATAAAATGCTGTGTCTTATCTAGTTTGAAGAGCACCGCTCGCCCTCCCTCAATTGCGTGCACTATCCCCGTCACCACTAATCCCAGCACCACTACTCCCAACACCAGGAAAGACACATCACCGACGATAATACGACACGTATTTCGCGCTCAGGTGAATTAGTCTCTACGGTGGCTGACCGCTAAGCGGTCACCTTTACTAGGTTTTAAGTATGTTTTTTTTTTCATATAAAATACAAAAAATCATATCTGATTTCAAAAAGGAGGTACTCAACTTGACTGAATTTTTTTATGTGTGTTACCTCATAACTTTTTTCTAGATGAAACGATTTTGATGATTCTTTTTTTATTTGAAAGCTGGTGCTTCTTTTATGGTCCCATTTGGTCAAGGTCTGACCAGTAGTTTTTGAGTTTTTTTTTTTTTACAAAATTGATTTATTGAACCGGATTATTGAGTTGGAGAAGAACAACTTTATAGAACCTGCTTGTTTGAGAAATTAAAAATAATTTTCCAATAGTAATATAGGCCCTACACTTCACTTAGCAGTATGAGGCTGACATTCGAAAACCTTTCTTCTTCATTGGATATCGGCTACTAATATAGCTGACATCTAAGACGTGGTCATTCACTGCACTTCGCCGTATGAGGAAGCTCAAAGGCACTCAGTGAGCTATGCCCGGCGTTTCTCTACATGATACACTTAAAAACGAGGATATCCACAATAGAACCAGAGTTACCGACATATCCCAAAGAATAAGTATGATGAAGTGGCAATAGGTCGGCCATATAGCTCGAAGAACCGACAACCGATGGGGACGAAAGGTTCTCGAGTGGCAGTACCAGCAGGCGAAGTGTAGGGCATCCCTCCACTAGATGGAGGGACGACCTGGTAAGACATGCAGTAAGTCAATGGATGCAGGTGGTTCGGTACCGTGCTTTGTGGTATTACTTGTGTGAGACCTATGTTCAGCAGTGGACTTGTGAAGGGCTGTAATGATGATGATCATGATGATAGCTCATATTACTGGCCCATCGCTACTTCAACTTAGGCCACATCAGTAACTCTGTTTCTATTGCGGATGTCATCAATACGGATTCTATAACACAGTGATACTCCATCATCGATCTCTCTATATTATGGAGTCTATAATTTGTCAATAAGCTTCCTCTTACAGCTCGCAGTATAGCACCGGCCATCGTCTCAGATCCATATACATATAACATCATCACAGGCACTCACATTATAAGGTGAGGACCTAGACAGGTATGCAGGAAATTTGTTTGTTCCCTCAGGAACGTGTTATGTGGAATTCCTTAGGAAAGGTTTATATTCAGCACTGGACTTGAATAGCTTTAATGATGATGATGACAGTATGTACAATTATTACAAATCCACAGTAAAACAGCGCAACATATACATTATTGCTCCATTGCTATTTTACATGTAAGTAGATGTCTATGTATTTTCGAGCATCTGTCTTTCGATCCTATTACAAAGTGGGTGTTTTCAAGGCAAGATGAGTAAACAGGCTTTTGTTAAGCACGTAAGCACGCTTTTTCAATTCCGGCCATTCTATATATTTACTATCACTAGGGATAGTAATCAAGCAGTGGCTATTATAATTAAAAAATATATAGATACTTACGATCCACCCGGCTTCGTACGGGTGATTTCTGGATCTCCACAACAGCGCCACCTACCTGGTCAAATTTTAAATCTAAACCTTTCTCGAATCAACTTTATTACACTTTCCATATTTCATCAAATCTGTACAGCCATTTTTTTATAGGATAAAGGTGACAAGCGAGCACACAGTCCACCAGATGGTAAGTGTTTGCTGTGGCTCATAGACATCTACATATATTTTCGTTTGCGAATCAAAATGTAGATGCGATGTCACCCCTGTGGACTAAGATGGAATGCCTCTTTTACAGTAAAAAGGGTCTCCAGTTCTCTACACTCACCATACAAAATATAGCAGCATTAAACTGCTATTTTACACTGGTATTCTGTGAGAGTTAGGACTCATATTAATAATTATTAATATTGCAAATAAAAACCAGGTCAAAACCAACCAAACTTATGGTTGAAATAATATTCTACCCCCATACCTGAGTTAATATGACGCGGAACGCTTGGCATGAGCATACTTGGAATATGACTGTAAAATTTATCGGCCTGAGAAGAAATACCTACATTATTTACATAAGGAAAGTAATTTCAATGGTACCTTAGAGTGATTCCGATGAATAGACAGACAAGAGATGTTAGAAGTGCGAGACGTTTAGTTCTGTGATCTCTGTAATATATTTCTGTCAAGTTCAGCATTAGACTTGTAAAGGGCTGTAATAATGATAATGATGAAGTTTAGAGTTCCCATGGTATTGCTTCACTGCGACGAAAATTTTAAGATAATTTTTCTAAAATGTATTAATCTGAAGAAGAAAAAATATTGATCGCATTTTTGTTTCCTACTTATCAGAAGGACTTAGGAAGGAAATATGTGGGTATCATAAGCGTATTTTGTTTCGTGGCACAGTAAAATGAAAATTAATTTATTAAATAAATTTATTTAAAAAAAAATTAACGGCTAGTTTCGCATTAATTATAATGAAATAATATACATACTGTACGTTTTGGGCTCAGAAAAACGTAGAGTACAATATTGTTTACCCTAAAGCCTAACACACTAAGCTTTTTTTACATTTAAATAGATAAAACGCTTAATTTTTACCTAACTATAATTATTAAACTATTAACAATTTACGGTAAACATAACGAAGAAACATTACACACCGTTACACTGTACAAAGCACAAACATTCACAAAAAATTGACATTGAAAAGAGTTCAAATGCTTTGCATTTCCACACTTGTTTCATGCTATTTGCAGCAAGTCTTTAGTCAGAAAATTTGTGAACATTGAGAAGTTTTCGTATTTGCGGTCACTGTATGCTCTATTTGCGCTAATGCTGTTAGTTCTGTATCCATCTTTCTGTTTTTGATCCGAGTTTCTTTGGTAATCTGTCGTTTCTTGCAGCAACACAAAATTTCTTCAAACTCTTTGCGAAAGTTGTCGTTTAACCAGCCGTACAACAAAGGATTTGAGACAGCACTCGACATGCCGAACATGTGACAAACAGCGTAAGTTATTGTCATAGATTTCTCCCCCAGGAGTGGTTCGGTGCTGAAATCTGCCGCCAAGTTAAAAACGTTCAAGGGTAACCAACTTATCACGTAAGTTACAGCAATGGCAATAAGAATGGCTGGAGTCTTTCTAGTCGTGCGTCTTCGACCACGTAATCTCCTATGAATTTGGACATGTGCCACGACTACAACTAAAACTGGAAGTAGATACTGTAAAATTAAACTAAATAGAGAGTATATCGCCCTTCCGTTATACATGGGCCAGTCTTCTATGCAGAAACTCAAGGAGTCCATGTATTTCAGTCCTATATTATGAGTTTTGAGGCTTCTAAAAATATAAAGAGGTGAGGCGAGGCAAAATGCTGTGACCCAAATAACGATCATTGTGACAAGAGCTCCCATTGTTTGTAAGCCAGAGCGCGTTGGATACACGATCAACTGTAAACAAGATAACATGTTTTAATTTTTATATTTATTGTACAAAGTAATATTTCCGAGTTACAGAACAATTAAGTATTTTAAACTTAGAACTAAGGATAGAATCAGAGCAATCGACATAGTCTAACGATCATAGTAAGCTGAAGCGACAATGGCCGGCCATGGTTCCCCGACATAACAGCCCCGGACAGAATAGCCCCGACAAAACAGCCCCGACAAAACAGCTCACCGACAAAACAGCCCCAGTCAAAACAGCCCCCGACAAAACAGCCCGTAAACAGGTAGTATAATATTATTACTTTGCTAGTTGCATTGATAATCGTGCTTTTTATCTTCAGAGTATATTACATAATGAAAATATAATATAATAATAATAATTATTTCTGTGAATATATTGTGGAATTTTATATTCAGCTTTCAATTTAATTAACTTACCTATTATGAGTAGGTTCCAAGAAGGGGCGATTTACGTTTCAGCCGATTAGCAGATTTGAATAAATGTTATAATAACTTATAGTCCGTTCATCGCTTTAAGAAAGTAATTTGTAATGTGTTTACAATGCCTATTGTACCTCTTGCGGCGATAATCCTCTTATTGCTATTGAACGAGTAGAAATAGGGTAGAAATAGAGTTAGAACGTTTTCGAGCCGGCTTCAGAAATCCCGAAGCTTCCAAAAAGAAGTATGTGCAACTTAATCGTCGATTGGAAACTCTTATGGGAAATTATAACAACGACGACCTTTTACCGTATCTCCGTGGAATTTCCAACAATCTGACATTATAAATTGATATATTATTATATAACTTCATTTATTTTTATTTTATAATAATTATTAATAATTGTAACCTTTGTAATTAATAACCTTTGACGAATATAGTTTGTAGAATTTTGTTTGTAAATATACATTATAATATAATTTTATACCTACATTTATTTTTGTTTTTATTTCGTGTGTAGACGATGCAATAGTTTTGTTGAAAACAAAAAATACATAAAATGAACCAGAAAAAGTCACGTAAAGTATTAACATTCGTTTTACACCACTTACAATTTTAAATTTGATATCATTTGTAGAAAACATTATTCAGATACATTTGCAATAGTTGGAATGAACAAATTGTAAAGTATAAATTTTTATAAGGAATAATTTCTTGCTAAAACTCACAATAGAAAAGTTTCCCATATATCGCCAACTGAAGTAGATACACGGTATAAGTATAGTTATAAATTCTATAGATATGTATGGTATTTATTTTGACTTGGGCTGTTTTGTCGGGGGCTGTTTTGACGGTGGCTGTTTTGTCGGTGGGCTATTTTGTCGGGGCTGTTTTGTCGGGGGCTGTTTTGTCGGGGCTGTTTTGACGGGGCACCGGCCGGCCATATAGCTTGAAGAACCGACAACAGATACGGGTAGGCGAATTACGGCACCCAACTAGATGAAGTGACGACCTATTAATACATGCAGGAAGTCGATGGATGCAGGTGGCTCAGGTCCGTGATTTGTAGCGTTCCCTGGGCGAGGTTTATGTTCAACATTGAACTTGTGAAGGGCTGTAATGATAATGACGATGATGAGTATTTTAAAATAAATTAAAAATGTATTATAATTTTGTTATTAAACAGTATATTTTGCTATGTAAATTATGGTTTCACCACTGATTCCGAATTTACCTCTGCCCTTGGAACAATTAACAAGCAACCCAGCAATTTGAAAAATTGTTGGGTGAAAAAATAAACAGCAGTTGTGATTATTAATTTGAATATTATAAAATCCTATTAATATTTCAAATATCATCAGGCTATAAGAGTAGTTTTATAAATTTAGAGTTATATAAATATACTACTACTACTCGAGGGATACTCATCCCAATTTACCTGTCCGGTAGTTGTGGTATGGTATACGGGTATGCGACCCCGGCTTCCCTAGCTATTACTGTCCTATCCCGTGCCCTTCTGGACGGTAATATCCTACATTTCCTATTTCCTACCCTAACTTACCTTACTCTTCCTTTTCACACCACCTATCCTTCCCCTTTTCCTATTCCTACCCTCCGCCAATCCAACGTCTGCCGCGCGGATGGATGCATGGCTAGGGGCGAGCCTAGTGGTTAGCGTGCCACACTGCCCTGGGACTGGGCGACCCCAGAATTAGGCTAGCCTTACCCTGGCAGGCGGGGCTCTGCTGGGGGGACAAACCTTTCCCTCGCTATTCGTGGGAACGCAATGGATAATCATAAAAATAATTTAATTAACCAAAATGGCGGCGATGTGGTTCGCCACCCATCACGTCTCGTTTCTCGCGGGGGCGAAAAGTGGCCCACGGAGAGCCGCTTCGCTACGTTGAATGTAAGAGGAGGAATGGATGGTAAGGTAGATGAAGTATGTCAGATGATGGATGAACGTTGCATTGATATTCTGTGCGTGAACGAAACCAAGAGGAAAGGATGTGACACCACGGTTCATGGCCCCTACACGGCATACTGGTCGGGAGTCCCCCAAACCAGCCGAGGCTGTCAGGGAGTTGGTGTGATTCTTTCATCTCGAATGGTTGAATGTGTGATGGAGCATGAATGTATAAGCCCAAGACTCCTCTGGATTAGGTTAAAAGTCGGACTCACTCGCTTATTTATCCTTGGGGTCTATGCACCAACGGATCTGCGTGGAGGTAGGTCATTAAAAACACAACAAGAGAGAGATGAATTTTGGGATAGCATGAGAGAGGTCTTGAATAAATGCGGAGAAAATGAACGGATCGTGATGTTAGGGGACTTTAATGGATGGGTTGGAGTAAAGCGTGATGGGTATGAAGGAGTTTTGGGTACGTTTGGGGACGAGAGAGTGAATGACAATGGGAGAAGCCTGCTTGAAGTATGCTTGGAATGGAATCTGTGCGTGGCCAACACAATGTTTGACCACAAAAAGATCCATTTGTATACAAGAGATGAGGGTGAGTCTAGAAGTATGATTGATTTTGTAATTGTGGATGAAAGACTGAGGAAGAAAGTGCTAGACACTCGGGCATACCGCGGTGTAGGCCTCGACACAGACCACTTCCTGGTCATAGCCCGAATGCGTGGCCTCTTTAAACGGTGGCGACACCGAGTGGCCGAGCCTACGAGTGTTTTGGACAGAGTAAAAGTGGAAAATCTACAAGAAAAAGAAAAGAAAGACGAGTATGTAGAGAAACTGAAAGAAAGTTTTAAAGAGATAGAAGAGATAGGAGTGATTGAAGATTTGTGGGAGACATTTAAGAAAGGGGTCGTAAATGTTGCTATTGAGGTATGCGGGGTAGCTAAAAGAAGGAAAGGAAGAAAGAATGATAACGTGTGGATGGATAAAGATGTACAAAAAGTTGTGCAAGAAAAGAAGAAAGCGTGGTTGGATTGGTTAGCAACAAAAGCTAACCAAAAAGTTCAAAAGGCAACGGATGACGAGATAAAGGAAGCAAGAACGAAGTATAAAAGATTGAAAACAGCAGCGAAAGAAATTGTGTCTAGAAAGAAAGAAGAACGAAAGGATGATTTCGATAGAAGGCTCACTGAAGATTTCCAGTCAAACATTAAGTTCTTCTGGAAAACCATCAAAACAGCCAGAGGAAAAACTTCTACCTCTGAGCTGAGTACAATCAGGAGTCAAGATGGGAGCATTATAAAAGGAGAAGAATGTGTGTTAAAGAGATGGAAAGAGTATTTTGAAAGTTTGTTTGAAAGAGAGGAAGTGCAGGTACAGCATCTGCCACCTTCCACGGAAACAAATATAAATGTTGATGAAAATGAGATAAGCATGGATGAAATAGTGAAAGAGTTGAAAAGTATGAGATTAGGTAAGGCTGCAGGGTATGACAGGATTACCGTCGAGATGCTGAGGGCTGGACAGGGCCTGGTGGCTAGTCAGCTGTACCGCCTTTTCAATCTGTGCTGGCGAAATGGGCAAGTACCGGGAGACTGGTGCAAAGCCGTAATCGTGCCATTGTATAAGGGAAAAGGGTCACGGCAGGACTGCATAAATTACCGCGGTATAAGCCTTCTCAGCGTCGTCGGTAAATTGTATGCGAAAGTGTTGATTGAAAGGATTGTGAATGAAACAGACAAGAAAGTATGGGATGCACAAGCGGGATTTAGAAAGGGAATGGGATGTACGGATCAGGTCTTTTCTTTGCGGTGCATAGCCGAAAAGTATTTGGCTAAAAACAAGAAAGTCTACTGCGCGTTCGTAGATTTAGAAAAGGCCTATGATAGAGTGGTGAGGAATGAATTGTGGTCAGCACTGTCCGTGAACGGTGTGAGCAGTATCCTCATACGAGCAATGCAATCTCTTAATAGGGATTCTAGTGCTTGTGTAAGGATAAACGGGGCATACACTGAATGGCTTAGTATCCAAATAGGTGTTAGACAGGGATGTGTAGCGTCACCGTGGCTGTTTAATCTGTTCATGGACAATTGTTTGACAGATTTAAAAGAGAATGAAAGTGGGTTGAGAATGAATGAGTTACTCGTCAAATGTTTTTTCTATGCTGATGACCAAGTATTACTTGCGTCTTCGGCCGAGGAGTTGCAGGAGATGGTAACTGCTATGAGTGGAGCTTTTGTTAGAAAGGGAATGAAGATGAATGTAAGGAAGACGAAAGTGATGGTGTTTGAAAAACATGAGGCAGTGACAGACTGCAACATTGTGATTGAAGATGAACAAATTGAACAGGTGAAAGAGTTTGTGTATCTGGGTTCAAAGTTTACAAGAGATGGAAAGTGTGAGAGTGATATCGAAAGAAGAGTGAATGCAGGAAACATGGTGAATGGAGCTTTGCACTCCTTTATGAGCAGTCGGAAGGTGTCTAACAAGGCTCGTTTGGCTGTGCATGAGGGGGTGTTGGTTCCAACACTCATGTACGGAAGTGAAACTTGGGTATGGCAGAAGAAACATGAATGCAGAATAAATGCAGTTGAGATGAGAGCATTAAGAAGTATGATAGGAGTTAAACTGAGTGACAGGATAAGAAATAGTGAGATAAGGAAACGTTGTGGTCTGAAAGAAGATGTAGTGACAAAAATTGAGAAAGGTATGCTGAGATGGTTTGGCCATGTCGAGAGAATGAATGAAGAACGATTGACGAAAAAAGTGTATAAGGCGAGTGTGAATGAAAGTGTTGGAAGGGGTAGACCTAGGCGGACATTTCTAGACCAAATCAGGGACGTCTTGAAAAAAGGCCAGGTCAAGAGTACCCTAAACCGTAGAGCATGTATGAAGGGAATAATGAAAGTGGACGAAGCAAAACAAGTATGTAAGGATCGTAGCAAGTGGAAAGAACTGGTCTCTGCCTACCCCTACGGGAAAGAGGCGTGATTATATGTATGTATGTATGTATAAATATACTAGCAATCTGCCCCGGCTTCGCACGGGTAATTTCTGGATCTCGACAAGAGTGCCATCTACCCGGTCCAATTATAAATGTAAACCATTCTCGATTCATTTTAATCACACACACATAATTTCATTGAAATCGGTCCAGTCGTTTAGGAGGTGTTCATTTACATAGATTCGGACAGAAGAATTATGTATATAAAGATAATCTGTTTGTTAGCGATCCTGTAACTTCTGAACGATTAGACAAACTGAAGTAATATTCACACTTTTTTTTTGGTGACATTATGTTTTATAACTTTGCTCCGGGATCTGATAGGTGGTGTTGTAGTCAAGTTATTAAAAGTGCTATATTTATGGAACAAAATGACAACATTAAAAATATTCCTTGCTTTAATGCCAAAAAAAAACATATTCTAAACCCGTTGAATTTATTAATAAATGTTACATTTATACTGTAAAAGGTCCGGTGTGAATCCGAACTCATAGTGTCACCTACTGCAAAAGGACAGAACAACATCTGCCGGGCCAATAATTTTTTCTCTATAATTAATTATCTCGTAATTTAGCTTCGGCACTTTTGATAGACAAGCGGAGGTACGCGTGAAATCAGATGCGCCAAGTACATTAAACGATTGTCTAAAATTTTATAGTGATGTAATCGTTTTGAATTAATTATGCTACCTAATTTAAAAGTAGTAACATTAGCCGCTACATTTTTAGCTAAAAGTAGGGTAGACGAATTTCTAAAAGGAGTGTAGTTAAGGGGGATAAACGATTTAATTGTCCATCATACGTAATGTATACAGATAGCTATCGTTACACAAATTATTGCATTCAACTTGAGAAAAAGAAGGGTACAGATGTGTTGAAGACCCTGAAGACTTGGATAAAATGCAAAAATATAGCCATGGGTGTACTGCGTTTGGTGTTTTACTGCTTGACGTTAGATATGGATAAGAGGGTGGTAACAACAAATGAACGGTAGATATAACAAGATTTATTTAAAGCAACAGCCAAATTTGCCTTTAGTTTGTTTTCAAATAGTGAAAATTGGAAAAAATATTTTTATTGGAATAATATCGGGGACATCTCATTATTTAATTCGTTTTTATTGCACAATGGAAAATATATGAACCGGGGAAAATGGTATTTCCATTTTTCCCGTTAGCATTTCAACACTTGCAACAGCTTTAATGGATTTACAAAACAAAAGACTTGAGTTTAATGCAGTTTTTAATGCATTTCTCCTATCTGATATTAAATAGCCTTATCAATTATCTAGTACTTGAGCATTTAGTTCATAGACCCTCGAACGATAAACTGATAAATAATGAAGTCTACATAAAATCAATAACGTGTATGACAATAGATGTATGCTAATGTACGTATAAGGTCGATGCAGCAAAATCATTTTCACTGCAAATTCAATAGGAATAAACAAGTGGTAAAATAAAAAAAAAATTGTACAACCAACTTCACTATAAATAAAATGAGAACATTATCAATCAAAGTGTCAATTAATTACGCATTGTTAAGGATAACTTAAAAGCTAGAGATGGGCAGCAGTGTCTTCCTAATAAAAAATAAAAAAAACTGCGGTTTCAAACCCGCCTACCTAGCGTGGCAGTTATCGCAAATATCCCCCATAAGGCAACCTATAGTCGAGGCCTATGTTCAGCAGTGGACTTTCATAGGCTGTAATGGATGGATGTATAGAAGATAATCTACCAGGAGCACATGACCCACTGAGAGTTGAAATTATTAAATCAACAGTAACATTACAACTATGACAAATATCCTCAATGAGGCAATCTATGGTTTAGGCCTATGTTCAGCAGTGGACTTTAATGGTCTGTAATGGTAACGGCGCATAAGCTAGAGTAGTCAAGAACCATCAGATGGACTGTTAGGTCATTTGATAACATAATTACCACCGATTACCTAAATTTAAATAATAGTCCTCACAGGTGACAACGCATCTACATTTTGATTCGTAATCGAGGATAAATGTAGATGTCTATGGGCCACAGCAACCACTTACCATCAGGTAGACTTTGCTCGTTTGTCACCCTTATCCTATAAAAAAAAGAAAAAAAAAAGATTGAGTACTTAGTTTATATTCAAAGATTTTTTTCGAATGTGGCAATAAAGTGATATTCATTTATTATAATATTAATGTAGTTACATAGAAGACAAATAACTAAGTAATATTTTTATGCTTTCGGCGAATGACATGAGAATATGATATGGAAAATAACGATAAGGACTAAAATACATTTTAAAGGTAATTTTCAAGGTTTTGAGACTCAGATATTTGTAGCTTACCAAACTTAGATTAATAGAGTTTTAACTGGAATAGATCTTATTCAGAGGTAAACAGAACTATAGAATAATTTTTATTTCAGTTTCAAAAAATCATTCCTCTCTATAATCTAATGAAATATAAACATGGATATCAAATGAGCTTATAATAATATATATAGTATTTATTTTATTAACTTATAAATCTAATTACTAGTAATATTATTATAAGTTGTAAAATATTTAAGAATAAATAGAAATAATATTTACTTAAGAATAAACATGAATAATATTTATTCAAACCTAATTTGTATTAAGCCCTTTAAAAGTATTGAAGTTTCTAATTTCACAGGTATAAGATGACGTCAAATTAAAATCAACAGACTACATTCTATTTCAAGAAATATTGAACGAGGCGTAAACAGTTTACCGTTATGTTTATATTATTTGAATAAAGAACGATATCTGGAAAGCGGATTCATACGATGTTAATAAAATCTAAACTACTTTGAACTTAGCTTTAATATCATTTCTAAAAAACGTATTTGAATTTTCGTGACTCCAAACTGTAAGAGATGGCTCCTTATATATTATGGCGGCATAACCTTCATGTATACGCCAAAGTATAATCGCACCAAAGGACACCGAAACGCTGCACCAAAGGTGACAGGCTCCATGCACTGAATCGTCGTGGATGCATTTCCTAGCTGACTGGCTATACTTAAACTTTGAGGGAAAAAAGATCCAGCCCTCTAGCCTCTAGGGGCAACTAGTCATTGAGATGAAAAGCTGTCATCATCTTTATCATTATCATCATCAGTCTGCGGCAATCCACTGCTGGATATAGGCCCCTCCCAAGCGGGCCACTTAGCCAGACCTTCGGCTACATGCATCCAGTTTCTACCAGCCACCTTGAGCAGATCGTCGCTTCATCTGGTCAGGTGGCGTCCCACACTACGTTTGCCTAGACGCAAACAACCTTTTGACAAATTTAGCATCCCCAACAAGGTAATGGCGTCCCTCCCAAGAAATCAATGTTATAATGTCTGGTCTCCTGCCATCGTCTTTTAAATAAACGTATAAACATAATATCAGTGAAATTCACGTACCTGATACCTGTCGAGGGCAATAGCAGTAATTGAAATTGTGGAAACAAATATCGATATAGCTTGTATAGCACCGCAAGCTTTGCATAAGCTGGGCCAATCCGGTAGCGGCCAATGTTTGGTCAAAAGTTCCATCAACGTCAGAGGAGTTCCAACGCAACAAACCAAAGCATCAGATACAGCTAAGTTGACTATAAACATGTTCCTAGCCGTTCTCATGGCTGGCTTTCTAACAACCTGAAATAAAAATAATATGTTTATGAAAAAAAAAAGGAAATTATATTTAATAACTAAAAAGTACATATAGGCAAAATACTAGTTAAAATTAAATGTAAAATTGTTTACAGCGTATAGACGTATCTAAAAGTGTGACAACATAATAGACTGTCAATGCAGATGCGTCGTCACACGTGAGACTACGAAGGAATGCCTCTTTTTCAGTAAAATGGGTCTGCGGTTCTCTACACTCACTATACAAAACACAGCAGTGTCAAGCTGCCATTGTACGCTGGGTATTCTGTGAGAGCGTGGTCCTTCCTCGGTCGAGCCGACCCATTCGTGCTGCAACTATACTACTAATATAGCTGCAGCATGGCTCTACAACCTATAAAGTTTGTGTTAATGTGAATTTTATGTATCTTTAAGTTAAAATTATACACCCACAGCTAGGTACAGATATTCTCTTATTTCTGAGAGGAATTTGATGGCTAGGAAATATCAGCCACGCTGCTCCAATGCGTTTTGGCAAATTTCACATAAGTCTTCAATTTTTTTTCTTATTTTTCAGACATTTCGATTTCGTCACGATGTTTTACTTCACCGCCGAGCACGTGATAAGCCAGCACTTAAAATTGCAACTAACAATATCATTGGCGGCGGCGGAGATCGAACCCAGGTTGCTCGCGTTGTATGAGATATACAGCGAGCGCTTTGCCCCTAAACTACCATGGCTCACTAAGAAACGATAAATTATAACAATTTTTAACATTCCATTCTTAAAGATAAAGTACATTTAACGAAACAAATTCACGTCGTTATATTACAAAAGAAAAAAAAATCACTTACAGAAATAACCACAAGAGCATTGCCAACTGCGCCAATAACAACCAAGATACCATAAAACGTAAGTAGTAGAGCACTAGTGCGATCGTCGACTTTTCGATTTAAAGAGAATTTTTCCAGTAGATTGTTTGGATTTTCTATACCTTGTGATGCTTCTATTAACCATTTTGCTGATGCATTCAGAGTTAGATTCATATTCGGGCCAGATTTCTGCAAATAAAAGGTTAATGTTAGAATTTTTTCTGAGGATGGGGTAAGAAGAAGAGAGAGACGGAGATCTGAAAAAATGTCTATTTTACTAGTTCATATATTATATGGATAAATCTAGTTTGTATTGTAAAATAAATATTTTAGAGTTTCTCGTACCGGAAAGTGAAGTGTAGGGCGATCCCTACTAGATGCAGTGACGAGTTGGTAGGACTTGTACGAAGTCAAACGATGTAAGTGGCTCAGTACCTTATTTTGTGGCATTCCTTTGGGGAGGCTCTGTTCAGCTGTGGACTTGTGAAGGGCTATAATGATAATAGTGATAATAATGATATTATATAAACGATTTTATTTTCTTGTTGTTTTGTGTGTTAGAATATCCGTTACAAGTTTCATGCTGTGAGTGTCATAAGAGATCTTATGACTTTCAATATATAGTGATATTAAATACCGTTAACGTACATAAAACGTATCGACCAGTGAAAAAGATTAACATAGGTGTAAAGTAGCTTTTAGTTTATTTAGATTCAAATCTTAACTAAGACTTTTGCACAGAGCACGTAACAGCTGCGCTGCAAAACCGCACTAAGCCGGCCACCGCAGCTACGTCGATATTCCTTGCCCAGTAATCTACCATGATATAATATGTAATTGTTTTTATTATACATAATTTAACACTCTCCCCTTTCTATATATAAATATATAAAATTTACGTGACCAGTATATTAACCATATGTTGATCTTTCTAAATGTTTAATTATATGCCGTTAATAAATTTATGGCGTGATCATCTTAGTTAGGACCCTATTTAAGTTGTGTTTGTATAGTAACATAGTTCTTTTAGGTGTCTCTTGCAAGACTGAATATTCACTGGAGCAATCGAAAGCTGGTAGTGCTTTACAAGCTAAAGAATTCCGTTCACGAAGACAGGGCTTAAAAAAGTTAAGAACATTAAATTGTCCCTAATCCACTTGTATCAGGTTCACATCAGTCAATTCCTTATTAATTTTACCTTCCCGCTTGAAAAAGGTTCACAATATTTGTATAAAATACCAGATACAAGGGCTTCGCTCTCTCACATTTAAAAAAATACGTGGTGGAGGCACACGGCTCCACACACGCCGTGTGCGGCAATCAACCAAGGTGCTCCCCCGAAGGGGACGTTAGAGTTGGGCACTGGACCGTAGTCCACAGCAAAATAACTGGCGTACCAGTAAAAGATGGCTTGGCCCCTTGGTAGTGCGTAAGCACAAACATACCGAAGTCGGGCATGTTAATGCACATTAACGCCATACAGAATATGATCAAATCCAGTCACAGTGAATGTACGTCACACGGATTAGGCAATAATAGGGACACTGGCCATAAAAAGCCCTCCGTAAGCGCCACCATCTGCCAGACAACCGTTAGTGTAGAAGCGATAGTGTAAGGCATCATCACGTATTGCATGATCAGCACGGCTAACTAGCCGCAGAGCGTGTTATGAGTCTACCGCTCACCTCAAGGGAATTGGCTCCTACGTTGCGTTACTTTCGGCCGCAGCCTTGAGAGCTTCCTTAGATTCTCCCTTCAGCTCCTCCAAATACCCGCACGAGGTCAACACATATGTTCCACCAATCAATACAATGGCAGATATAGCCAAATGGCAGTTATAAGATAATAGTAATTATCTTATATCGAAACATTTTGACTTTATCATAACATAACAGATTTTTTGGTAAGTTATAGTCCTAAACCACATGAATCCATCGACTACCTGCATGTTTTATCAAGTTGTCATACTAAAACCTGGGCTTGTCAGTTCCAGGCTGCCTGTGGAGAACAATTTTTCCCGTCTTAGAATCTACTTATGCCATGGACAGACACTACACGGACTTTTCACGTTGTAAAGACACACTGCATATTTCTGGCGTAAAACAGCCGAATAATAATGCTAAAGCAGTTCCTGTGGTCCATAGACATCTACATCTATCCTCAACTACCAAAATGCAGATGCGTTGTCACCCGCGAGGACTAAGATGAAATGCCACTTTTCGAGAAAAGTGTATCCGGTTCTCTACACTCACCATACGAAACACAGCAGTGTTAAGCTATTATTTTACGCTGATATTTTGTGGGAGCGTGGTCCCTCCCCGGTCGATCCAACCCATTCGTGCCACAACTATACTACCAATATAGCTGCAGCATGGTTGTACCACGTATAATATGTATGTTGAGTAGTAGTCATTCTTAATCGAGAATAGATCTAACCGCCATAGCATCCTTACTAGCAGGTGGACTGTGTACTCGTTTATCACCTTTATAGTATGATCGTAAAATCTATATATATAGTAATATATTACCCCGTGGTTATAGTATAAGGCGATTGAGGGAAACTAAACCAGGGGATGGGCAGAAGCGTTTTCTTGCTAACAGCTGAAAAAAAAACTGAGGTGTCAAGTCGCTTACCAAGCGAGGCAACTAAGGTTTAAAATGCTTTTGAGAGGTGCAAAAATTACTATAAAGTACATTCAAATATTACTTCTTGACAAAGAACTATATTGGATAAAATGTATGTATTAACTTTTGCAAATTGATACGAAAAAATGGGAAAAAGTATAATTTTATTTTTTCCTCGATCTATAAAAATATGTCTTATTCACTTTCAACAGCCAAAATCAAATCCTATTAACTTTTTAAGTACTGAGCTAAGAATATTAAAAGATAAAAAGAGTTTACGGAAACGGAAAAATTGATGTTTATACGTGGAAAATTGATGATACGTTCCCTGAAATCGTCTAAAAATATGCTTCGTTACGTTAGTGTAAAAATAAAACATTTTGTAACATAAAAGAATATAGTATATATACCAAATGTATATACAGATAAACAATAAAATTAATTAAATTGCTTAGCATGTAGTTTAGATAGTAAAAAACTTATTAGAGCGTAAGAACCCGAAAAATTTTAAAATGATGGCTCTATAATTCTTTTTCTTTTTTATAAAATTTGGTCTAGGAATTGTTTGTTTCATTTTATCGGTAGTTTCAATGGTGATTGACCGTCGATAAAACTATGGCTTGTTTTAATTTTTGAACGTTTAATAATATTCGCAACTTGGTTTTATTAGCTCATTCGCATTTACATTAACTGACACCTGGATATGTTAAATTCTTAATATACTGCAATTCTTTACTTTACTGTCTAGAACTTTGTCTGGGTAGCCCTCCTTTTAACTATTTTTGCCGCCAAAAAACAGTACTTGTATTTATAGGCATTGAGCTACGACACTATTAGTACAGAGAGTCATTTAAATAACAGACTGCGAGTCATTCCATCTTAGTCCCCTGAGGTGACAACGCATCTGTAGTTTTCTCTATTTGAAGTTGACTACAAAGTGATAAATGAGCACACAGTCCACCTGATGGTAAGTGATGCTGGGGCCCATAGACATCCACATCTATCCTCAATAACGAATCAAAATGCAGATGTGCTGTCTCCCCTGAGCACTAAGATGGAATGCCTCGTTTCCAGTAAAAAGGGTATCTGATTCTCTACACTCACTATACGAAACAGCAGCATTAAGCTGGCATTTTAGGCAGGTGTTCTGTGAGAGCGTGGTCTCACACCAGCCGACACATTCATGCTACAATTAATATAGCTGTAGCATGGATCTACCACCTACTTTCTCATCGGGGGGGACTGTAGTTTAATATTTTTCTTTATAGTTTTGACTATTTTTGTGCCTCAGAATCTGCATTAGAACTTCCAAAATTATCTTTTAAACAGTATATTGTGAAGGGTACGTAAGGGTAAAGGTACGCTTGTGGTATAACTACTGTCTCCTGCGCAGTGAATAGCTTTCTACTATATAAGGAAGCTGTCAAAATTTGTTACAATACTCGTAACATGGTAACATGGTATAAGACATGATTTTCTTAATCATGGTAATAATAATTAAATACATTAGAGCTGTTAATATTTGAGCCGTGCTACCTAAGGTCAAAAGCTCTTGCTCGTAGCTAGTCGTTAGGCTTACTGTCCTTGTCAATACCATTGGATTTGTTGATTGCAATTTAACATGTAAACATCCTGAGAAACCGCCATACTATTAACAGAAATGTTTCTATAACATGTTAATTCCGCTAACGTTTTACACGTGGTAGAGCCATGCTGCAGCTATATTAGTAGTATAGTTGTAGCACGAATGGGTCGGTTCGACCGGGGAAGGACCACGCTCTCACAGAATACCAGCGTAAAATGGCAGCTTGACGCTGCTGTGTTTCGTATGGTGAGTGTAGAGAACCGGAGACCCTTTTTACTGGAAAAGAGGCATTCCATCTTAGTCCTCACGGGTGACAGCGCATCTGTATATTGATTCACAAACGAGGATAAATGTAGATGTCTATGGGCCGCAGCAACCACTTACCATCGGGTGGACAGTGTGCTCGTTATTCACCCTATCCTATAAAAAAAAGGACCAGTGATAAGGAATTTTCGTACTTGGAAATTCCTTTATTAAACGAGGTGACCTGAACCCACAAGTGGCTTATCAATTAATGCATAGATAGGTTTTTAATTAATGCATTCTATAAAAAATATTTCAAATTATTATCTTGTGTGTTAAAAAATTCTTATTTTACCGTTCTCTTTGTATATTAGTAACCTATATTTGCATTATGTTATACGAATATATTTACATTTATACAGTAGGCATAAAGTTACACGTAGCGCTGCTTGAAAAGCTACGTTTGTCAGGAATAGTCTTCCGGATTTCAGTGCATTTCATGCCTACGTTCGCTGTAATCGCCAGATAGTTAACTAGGTCACTCTCGTTTATGAAGTGAACTATTATACAACCTAGATTTATTCGTACGTTACTGTGTTCAATGCCGTCACAAAATATACGTGTGATATTACATTATTCTTTTTTTTTGGAAATATTAATATGTACGCTTAATAGTAATCAAATTTAGGTATGGCAGAAGAAGAATTTCCCACCATCTGCTACATCACCATAAGGC